TGAAAGACTGGTCAATGATAACAATGCATCGTAAAACCTTCAGAAGGAAAGGAGAATGTTTTGTGGACCATTTTTTTTTGTGTGTGGCAGTTTTTAAGTTATTAGTTTTTAAAATCAATACTTTTTAATGGAAACAACTTGACCAAAAATCTGTCACAGAATTTTAAGATCTATTAAAACAAAGTTTAATGAGAAAAAAAAAGACAGCAATCTAAGAATATTTCACACAAATTTTCAAAATCTCTTCCAAGTTTCTTTTGAATGTTTAAGTACCTCACCTCATTATATACCATATATTTTGTATCAAAAATGACCAACCTTTGAAATGTTAAAAAAATTTAAAATATTTCTTGATTTACTAAACATTTAAGCACAAATACTTTTATATCCAGTCTTTATAAAGACATGAGATGTTTGCAAAGTTTTTATAGATGAGCCAATGGACCTAGTTCTAAGTTATCCGGAAGTATGATCACTACTTATAGATCGTTTTCCAATAAGTTAATGTGTTAAATGTGAGGAAGAAGTTGGAAATTCTGCTGCCACAGAATATCTTCTTTATTCAAGAAATTTGTAGCTGTCATCAGAATTCACTCCAGAAGTCAACTTCCTGGGATATCAGCAAACCAATCAGGGCAAAAGGTATACGAAGAAGAACAGCACCAGGTCTAGGAGGATGAAGAGCCAGAGGTCCAGCCAGTAGGACTGCTTGGGAAGCCCGTTGGTGCCGGACTGCGGCTGCACATGGTTCTGCTCCGGCCTCTGAGCCGCGGCCTTGCCGCGCCGCTCCCGGGGACGCTGGGCACCCTCCGCCTCCATCTCGCGCTGCGCCCCAGCACCGCGGGCACGTCAAGTGCACACTCCCGCGACGGCAGCTCGGAAAGCAGGGAGGATGCAGACTCCACATCCTTTGTTAGCTTAATTTATATCTGTTTAATTTTTCTTGGTGCTATTTTTTTTTCTTTCCATTTATCTATTTGGTACAGGGTCTCACTACACAGCTCGGACTCATAATGACCCTCCTGTTTTCAGCCTCCCCTGCACTGGGATGACAGGTGCACACCACCACGCCCAGACTGGGTCCCTGATCAGCATGCGCTGGGGGCTGGGCTGGTCCCTGGGCTTGCCAAAGCAGGCGCTTATCATGGTGCTATTGTGAATGATATGCTTTTCTATTTTCTTTCTTTTCCTGTAGGTTCATTATTAGTGCACTGGAGTGCTATGAAATTTTGTGTTGATTTTACATAGTGCTTCACTACTCAATTTGGTTATTAATTGTGAAAAGTCCTTGAGGAGATTTTTTTTGGGGGGTCTTCTATAGAGAGGATCATGTCATTTGTAAATAATAATTTGACCTCTTCCTTTCCTAGATGTATGTCTTTTATTGCTTTTTCTTGACCAGTGGCTCTCACTAATGTTTCAAGTACTGTGTTGGACAGTAGTGATGGTGGACATCCTTGTCTTGTTCCTGACTTTATTTTTATTTTTTATGTATTTACTACAGGGTTTGCAGGGTCTACGGGATCTACAGAGTGTACCGGGTCTACGGGGTCTCACTACGCAGATCAGACTTGTGTGATCCTCCTGTTTTCAGCCTCCCAAGCACTGGGATTACAGGCACGTGCCACCACGACCAGTGTCAATCGCCCTCTCAGTGTGTCACTGAGCTATTTGGCCGGCCCTTGATAAGGTCCTTATATATCAATTTTCTTCATTGCTTTTATCATGAAAAAATGTTGAATTTTGTTAAAGGCTTTTTATGCACCTATTGAGATGAACTTGTGTTTTTTTTAATCTTTTTTTTTTTTTTTTTTTTTTGAGACAGTGTTTCACTATATAGTTCAGGCTGCCTTGGACTCATTAAGAGCTCAGGCTGTGCTTGAACTCACAGCAATCCTCCTGCACAGCTTCCGGAGTGCTGGGATTACAGGTGTGCACCGCCACGCCTGGTGACCTTGTGCTTTTTGCCTTGCTTCTGGTTGTGTGATGTATTACATGAATTGATATGCATATGTTGGGCCGGCCAAATAGCTCAGCAGATTAAAGCACCTGCAAGCAGATGCAGGGGCTGGGGGTTTGATCCCCAGGCCTGCTGTGCTGGCCCTGCCCCTGGGGCATGCTGAGATGACTGGGGGTGATGGCGCACTCCTGTAATCCCAGCTCTTGGGAGGCTTTAAGGCTTTAAACAGTGAGACCCTGAACACCCTGTAGACCCTTCTCTAAAATTAAAAAAAAAAAAAAAAAAAGATTTGCACATGTTTAACCATGCTTGCATCCTTGGGATGAAGACTATTTGGTCATGATGTGTGATTTTTTTTGATGATTTGTTGCATTCTGTTTGCCAGTGTATAGATGAGGACTTTTGCTTCCATGTTCATTAAAAAGCTTCATCTGAAGCGCTCTCTTTTGATTGTATTGTCTGTTTTTGGAACTGGGATGATGGCAGCTTTCAGCAGAAACTTTGGTAGCACCCCTTCCCTTTGTGGTTCATTAAAGAGCTTGAGGGTGTTGGTGTTAGGATTTCCCTGTAGTTTTTCTAGAATTCAGCAGTGAGCCCACCAAGACCTGGGCCTTTCTTAGTTGGTAGGCTTATTACTGCTTCCATTTCCTTGCCCGCTATTGGGTCATTCTGGGCTTTTAAATTCTTTTGGTTCAGTTTTGGTAATTCATGTATATCTAAGAATCTACCCACTTCTTCTGAATTCACCAATTTAATGTATTGATATTAAGTAGTTATTAAAAACCTTTCTGATTTGGGAAATATATGTTGTGGTTGTACCTTTTTTGTTTATGATTGCATTGATTTGGGTTCTCTCTCTCTCTGTCTTTCTCTCTCTCTCTTTCTCTTTGTCTCATTAAGTGTTTGTATATTTTGTTTATTCTTTCAAAGAACCAACTCTTTAATTCAGTAATTCTTTTTTAAAAAAAATTTATGTATTTGGGGGCCGGGGAGATGGCTCAGTAGAATAAGCACTTCCCTGGCAAGCTCAAAGGCCTGAGTTCAAGCCCTGGTTCTGCCAAAAAAATAAATAAATTTATGTATTTGGTACAGGGTCTCACTACACAGCTCAGACTCTCAGTGATCCTCCTGTTTTCAGCCTCCTCAGCTCTGGGATTGCAGGCGTGGCCACCATGCCCAGCACTGGTGACCTGCTCATTGCACCCTGAGGGAAGGTCTGGCATGGCATATGGTGCAGGGGTTGGAATGCAGATTCCTGCGCTTGCTGAGCTATCTCACCAGCCCATCTGTATTACTTTTTGCCTCAATTTTGTTGGTTTGTGCTCTGATTTTATAATTTCCTTCCTTGTACTAGCTTTACTCACACTGTTCTTCTTTTTCCAGGACCTTGAGATCCATCATTAGTTATTCATTTGGCATCCTTCTGTTTTTTCAGAAAAAAAAAAGTGTGGGCATTCAAGATCTAAACTTCCCTGTTAGGACTACTTTCACTGTGTTCCATAAGTTCTGAGATGTTATACCGGGAGCATCATTAGTTCTAGAAATTCTCCCATTTCTTCCTTGACTACTTCTGTAATCCGTTGTTTACTTAATAGTGTATTGTTTAGTTTCCATTCATCTGCATAATTTTTGTTATTGAGTTCCACCATCAGTGTGTTATAATCTAGTAATATTCAGGGTATGATTCGAATTATTTTACATGTATTTAAGCTTGCTCTACAGTCCAGTATATGACTTATTTTGGAGAAAGTTCCATGTGCTACTGAAAAAAATATGTATTCTGGTTTTTTTTTTTTTTTTTTT